AATTAGGGATTTAGGTAGAAATTGGGGATTTTGAGAAATCGAGATTTAGACCTCAATTTGAGATCAGATTTCGAAACTAATTACATAACCGGGCTCGGGGGTGAATGGGTAATTGGGTTTTAGTCTGAATTTTAGATTTTGACCAAGTGGGCCCGGAGTTGACTTTTGTTGACTTTTTCCAAAATTACTAAAGATTGCATCTTTTTCACTCGTGTGTAGTTTCTAAAGCCTATTCTGAATTATTTGAACTATATTTGGCTAGATTTGATGTCACGCCCTGACCTTGGGGAGCGCGACCGCCGCTCCCAGTCAAGCAAGCCTACTTGATACCTTCTACCCAACCTTACCCATGAATAAAGTGAAAATACATACCATTCGTTAGACAATGAGATGATTTCACAAATAACACCAATTTCATTACCGTTAGTTACTTCATTTACAATTACCAAAATACATTACACATACATAGTTTTAGAAGTGGAAACATGTGTTACAAGTATAACATTTCAACTTTCACTTACCCAAATCAAAATAGAACCCACACTATGTCTACGGAGCCTCTCGTGGATACAAATGAGTAATATGATGGTGCCGGAAACAAGGCTTCAGCTATACCTCAAAATATTATACATAAGGAATAAAAGATAGAAGACCCTGATAGGAAGTGGGGCCCACCAAGTCAGCTGGGAAGAGGGTGTACCACTATCACTGATCGATGTCGCCTGCTGTGGAACCACATGCATCCATTAAATATGCAGCGCCCCTACAAAAGGCACGTTAGTACATATAGAATAGTACTAGTATGTAAGACTAAACACCCTCTCAATTAATCAAGTAACAGTACAAGGAGAAAGAAATATGGAATCAATAAGAGCCTCAAACAATATTAAAGTGTCAAGTTAAGAGAAAGATAGGTTTTCAAGTAAATATCTATATTTTTAAGTTGGGATATCTTTAATACCGATATACCACCCTACATTTTGCACGGAGTCCAATCTCGCCCCATCGGCTAAGCAGTCTCACCCAAGACATCCAATCACAACACCACCATGTGCGTGGCATGGCGTCCGATCTCGGCCCGATCGGCTAATCCGTCTCACCACAATGTCGTGTGGGTCGACATCCCATTCTGCTAGCTATCATCTCATCGCAATTAAGGGGAATAATATCAACACGTCAATCTCATCCCAATTAAGGGGAATAATCTTAACACATCAGTATGGAGATTTACACCCCAATCACTCCTACACCGGCATGTGTAGTTTCAGAGTTAGGTTGTTTCAACCTACACTTCCTTGGTGACTAATGATGCTCTGAAAACATTTATTATACAAAGAATTTACAGTTCAATTCATGGTCTAACACACATACTCTTTATTTTATTGGCACTATTGGCCACAAGTGAAATTCTCATTCTTATCACGATGGTCATATTTTATATTTCATATTCACTTCCTTCACTTTCAAACATCATCATAGGTTATCAACAATAAGAGCATTTGAAATCAAAAGGGCATCACCAGACAGTTAACTATTCCTTACATATCTCAACAAAATAGTGTAGTAGAAAGGATAAATAGAACACTATTGGACATGATAAGGTCCATGACAGCGCATGCAAATTTACCTATTTCCTTTTGGGGAGATGAGTTATTAACTGCAGCCTACATATTGAACAAAGTGCCTTCTAAATCAGTTTCTTCCACTCCTTATGAGCTTTGACTGGTCAGAAACCAAACTTAAATGATTTACGACCTTAGTGTTGTGCTGCATATGTAAAAGATTCTTCTAGCAAATTTGGTAAATTAGGTCCAAAAGGCAAAAAATGTATCTTTGTAAGATATTCAGAACACTCCAAAGGGTATATGTTCATTGGTGAATTAGAGGATGAAAGTGTTATTGAGATTGAATCACGAGATTTCACATTTCTGAAAAATAATTTTTCAAAGAAGGGCGGGGTAAAGAATGGAGAGCCACTTTATGAAATATTGAACTCATATAATCAGCAAGTGTCTTTTGACACGGTTGATAATTAAATTAATCAAGATCTTATTCTCAATCCCAAAATGCTTCTGACGACTCTGAATTTCAACTACGAAGAAGTACCAGGAAAGATATACCCAAACATACTTATGAGATTGAAGATTACTTTTTTTTTTTGGGTATCTCCTACATAAATGGATGAGCCAAAGTATGTGACTGAATCTTTATCGAGCCCTAAAAAGATGAGTGGATGAAAACAATGAAAGAAAAATTAGAGTCTATGAAAACCAACAAAGTTTGGATCTAGTTGACTTCCGCCTGAGCATAGAGCAATTGGGAACAAATGGGTTCTCAAAGTTAAACGCAAAGCGTATGGGTCAATAGAAAGATATAAGGCACAATTGGTGGCAAAAAGCTTTAATCAAGGAGTTGGAATAGATTATGAAGAAACATATTCACCAGTTGTGAAATTTATCTTAATTCGCTTACTTTTGGCTATTGTTGCACGTTTGGATTTGGAATTACACCAAATGGATATGAAGACAACTTTTATAAATGGAGAACTAAACGAGAAAATCTACATGGAACAACCTATAGGTTTCATCGTTAAAGGCCAAGAAAAGAAGGTCTGTAAATTGAAAAGATCTATTTATAGCCTAAAGCAATCTTCAAGGCAATGGTATTTGAGATTTCACAATGAGGTGATCTCGTATGATTTCACCATGATCAATGAAGACCATTGCATTTATGTGAAGAATTCCATTGGGATGTTTTTAATTCTTTCTCTTTACATGGACGATATTTTTGGCTGAAAATAATTTGGAGTATTTGAAAACTATCAAGTCATGACTTTCAAAGTCATTTGACATGAAAAATATGGGTGAGACAGACTATATCCTTGGAGTTAAGATCCAAAGAGACCGTTCCAAAAAGTTATTGAGTCTCTCTCAAAAAACTTGAAAAAAGAAAATTTTGGAACGCTTCCGAATGAATAATTGCAAACTCATGGATACTCCTATAGCGAGAGGTGAAACTTTAAGGTTTGAAATGTGTGCAAATACTGAAAATGAAAAGGAAGACATATCTCGAGTTTCATATTCAAGTGATTTCGGGCACTTAATGTACGCTATGATGTGTACCCAAATATTTATTATGCCATAGATTTATTAGAAGGTATCAATCAAATCCTAGAAGAGATCATTGGTAAGAAATGATGAGGATCTTCCGATACCTAAAGGGAATTGTAGATTATTCATTATGTTATAGTGGAAATAATTTTCTCTTGATAGAGTATACAGATGTGAGAGACATCATGGCAAGTAAATAAATAATATTACAATACATACCTACGCAAAAATGATAGTTGATCCTCTTACAAAATTAATATTTAAGACATGTTTGAGAAATATTTTGTGGCTCTAGGTTTGCCAATGATATGATAATGTTTATGTATTGTAAAATATTTTGGTTATAATAATATACTCATCAATGAATTGTTATTGAAATTGTGTTCATATTCTGAATGCATGTGATAATATCCATGTGAAGGATATAAGTGTGTCGAACAAGTTACGAGATCAACTCTCTCACACGGGCAATTACCTGTGACGTCGAGGAACGTGCAGAGATAAGACCATTAGAACCTTGATTAGTGCAACGTCATATATATTTTTGAATAAAATGGTCGATCTTGACTAGAATTCAGACGTATGGATTTCATAATCCTTAACGACTTGTTTTATAAGCCAGATACGAGTTTCTCTAAGAAATTGGAGTTGAGGATTGCTGAAGTAAGAAACTTGGGTTAGACATTTAGAGGTGTTTAGACCAAGATCTGTACAGTGTTGAATGAGTAAAAGAATGAGACACACTAATATCAAGTGAGAACATCGTAGCACGTGTTTCATACCACGTGTGCCATCGACCATTGGGATAAGGGAAGAATGAATCCCTGTTTCATCATTTTGTGAGATCCCGAAAAGGTTATATTAACTTTTAATTGGAGTACTCTTTGACCCTTTTACTGTCTCTTGAAGTACCTATCAGTGTTGCTAATTTAGCATGTCAATAATAGCCACGAGGGATTCGGCAATGCAGTGCATGTCTAGGAAAGCAGTTGATTTGGAATTGATAGATTCGAGTAAAAAGGGAAGACAACTAAAATAAGTATTTAACTTGTATCCACATGTCGACCATTATAGTTACCATGAGGGTATCAAGCGTAATTATGGGTAAAATGTTATATATAAGAACTTGATTTCAACTCTTTCAAGGATGAAGGATTAGATAACTAGTTATTGGAGTAGCAAATGATAGTCTGGGATATTGCGAGCAACAAGATCCTCATGTTAGTACTGAATCCTTTTCGCATGTGATTGGATTTCTACATAGAACTTTTGTACGACCTTAATGGGTTTGGATTATTATAGCGCTTGAGACTCGCATATCGCACGAACTATTTGTCTCTATGAATATGTGTGTTGTCAGTATGATACTTGCTTGGGTCTAGCTAGCCCACCATGAGCGAAGTGGGAAATGTTGGAATATTGGATTTGAGTCGCTCCATGTGGGTTGATACGACCCGGTTAAAAAGAAAAAGTAATAGAAGTTAGATGGGAGTTACAATACCAAAAAACTACCACATAGAAGTAGTATGCTTAAATTGGGAATTAGATTCCACAACTTGGTAACTTCTCTTTCAACCGCCTTCTTCCTTTTTTTCTTCAACAGAGAACAAATACTCTCTGATTTTTCCAACAAAAACACACAAGAGAGGAAAGACATCTTGTTCGTGGATATAAACTTCCTTTCCTAGTGAATTGAAGTTCGACTTGGGGCAACGTTTTGGTGGTGAGTTCAACGATTCTTCCGCTGTATATAAAAAGGTATACAACTTATTGTTCTCGCCCCTCGGTTTAATCTAACAAGAACGATACAAAGTAAAACAGAAGTGAGAAACCAAATTATTACGATCAAGTGCATAATATGAGCACAAGATAAAAAGAGCACAGCAAAGATGTTCAAATATAATAATTAACAATATGAACCATCCTGATCTCTCTGATGCATGTGATAAACCTAATAATTGAATACACAGTGCACGTATTTTTCGTCTCTACCCATCATGTAGTGTCCGATTTCTTCCTGCAAAACAGGAAATGCTACGTCTTAATCATAAAATACCCTTTGGCCAAAATTGGTGGTAATCCAAGTACTTAGAAGGATAGAAAAAGAAAACTTAATGCCTGCAGTTTCGGCAGATTGTCATGGTAATAACTAATAATATAATCTACTTTGCTAATAAGTAGTATTATATTGGCATGAAGTTTGTGAAGGTACAGATTAAGCTGTTAGCTACATTAGTAATTTTGTGTACATATATGCTTGATAATCTGTGAGAATAACCAGTTATTAAGTGAAAATGGAAATTATATCAAACACTTGAAGAAAGCAAACTTTGAGACGTACGCTGCAAATTCCTCGTCTGGTGATCAAAAAGTTCTCACCCAACATTTCTTTAAACCATTCATCAGAGAATATATGGATTATAGAGCATCTAAGAGAAGCTGGTACTCTTATATCATCGTTGTCATCATTGTGATCGAAGACATCAGCTTCTGGCTCTGTTACAAACGAAAACAGAAGTTGAATATCAGATAAAAAGTGCACGAATGTCTCACCTATGGACAGAGAAAATGAGTATCTACTTTTATATAACCTGCTTCAGATAGCTAAATATTTAATTAGACTTGTTTTGGTGATCACATAGAATTGATACAATGACACTAAGGTATAAATTCACATGGTTTCCGCTTTCAAATCTCATCTGCTTTAAATTAGAAGGCATGTACAAAAATACATCCTGAGTACCGAAAGACAGCAATAATGGTAGAGCAATACTTACTGGAAGATCATCTAGCTTACCTACTGGATCTGGAATTGGTAAATTTCTCCGCAAGCCGTCGATCCCAGCAATAATTATACAGGCAAGACCAAGGTGTGGGTTTGCAGATCCATCAAATGTTTTAATTTCAAAATTGGTTACTACACCATCTGGAGCTCCAGGAGGGCAACAAGCTCTTATAGTTAACTCTTTGCATTCCAACCCCCAGCAAAGGTATGATGAATTCCACGACTTAGGCATTAAGCGCTCATAACTGTACATAATTAACATATTTAGAGGAAGCAGTACATTAAGAGTAACAGAGAATATGTTTACCTGTTTTCAATAGGCATTGTAAATACACATATGGAACGAAGATGATCTAACACCCCAGCCATGAACGATTCTCCAATCTTGGTCATCCCATACCGATTTGGTTCAATAGATGCCATAAAAACGTTTTCTCCATTCTTAGATAAACTGATGTGCAAATGTGATCCAGAGCCAACATCGTCTTTTGAATATTCATCATACCAGGGATAGACATTATCGTAATAATACCTAGACAGTAAAGTAAAGAAACATCAATTATAACTTGAATTGACCTTTCATCTTATCAATGTTAATGACATTGATAAGAAACAACGGAAGAAATTGCACAAGTGTACGCAGAATATGTTAATGATTCTGAGCAGAAGGGTTCAATCTAATAAAGACGAAAAACATATCCAGATAAACAAGTAAAAAGAAAAATGCACATGAAAATGCTGTGGTAAAATCTGCTACCAACCTTGGCATAAAACTTGCTAGCAGCCCATGTTTCCTTGCAATTCCTTTGATGATTTCATGTGTAATTATTAAGTTATTAGCTGCTCTACGACAATCTGTGTATCCCAGGACAATTTCGAACTGGCCTTTCCCAGCTTCTGAATGTAGCTGCATACTAAAAGGAGAAACATCAAATGGGGCAGTACAGCAGGCGACACTGTAAAATATATGAGCTATCTTGTTCTCATTCTAGGTAAAAGAGAAAATTGTGTAGAGATTGTTGATGATGTTCATAAAGAAATGATCCACGTAAACCATAACAGCAATAGACGAATTATTCTTTTAGGTAAAGACTATCCATGGTCAACAGTAAATTAGTATAAATAGATCAGACTTTCTCTAGTTCTTCTTTGCAAGGTTCAACCAGGATTACATAACACAGATAGTTACAAGTCATATTCTTCGACCGAAAATTACTTTCTCGTCTATTCCAAATTAAGACACATTTTGACTCGGCACAGACAAAACAAAAGACTTTTGAAACTCATAGTCTTTAAAGCATAAAGGGTAAAATATTTGTGTGACAGTAAAATATTTTCATTAAGGGTAAAATAGAAAGTTTAAAAGTTAAATTGTTTCCAGATATATAAATGTGTCATTCTTTTTCAAACAGATGAATAAGGAAAGTGTGTCACATAAATTGAAACAGAAGGCGTACTAATTAAAAAACTAAAAAATGCAAGAGGGTGAAAATATGGTGACAAAATATGAGCTAAGAAAAAAAATTCTTGTCTTTATAACCAGAGGAAGCTCAACAATACTTGAGGCCTAAAGCCAAAGTTTAATTGGAAGCCCTTAAATAATAATTTTAATAGATATTTTTATTTAATTGGAGAATCTACAGTAATTTTTAACTTTTTAAAATGCAAAGTTGTTAATTATTTTTCTGTAATCGATTTCATCTAATAATTCTTTTTCATCTAATATATATATATATATATATATATACCTCCTAGTCCCGTATATGTTTCCTTTTCAGGAAATAGACCACATGGAAGGAATAATAAAGTGCTCGAGATTTCATACTTCAAAACTCTAACACTTGGGGGACTATATATATGGAAGGCAAAAAAGACTAGAAATGTCAGAATTCGAGTCAAGCCTGAGGCAATCTACCCAACAAATTGAAAGTTAAGAGCAAATCAAGAGCCAAAAACACAAGCCTGATTCAAAAACCTATGATGAAGTATACACTCGCAGATGTAAATTACAAAATCTTACGAGTATCTAGGTTAAAGGCAATATTTAGTCGTGGGTTGCAAGATATACCCTTGAATTTTGTAAAATTTGTTATAAAGAAAGCAGTTATGAAAGAGTTGTAGATGTTATTTGAATACATATAAAGTATACAGTTNTATTATCAAGAGCTCCTTTTTGAGATTGTATATTTCAACCCTCTTTTTGTTTCGGATAACAAGATTTTGTATTTTCTAATTGTCATATTTGAATTCTAATAAATATTTAAAAAAATATGCCTATGAAGAAAAAAAATAACAGATATAAGATAAAAAGATACTAGAAAGTTAGAATGAAATAACCCGGTTCAAGAAGTTTGAAGACTTAATTCCAAATTTAGTATTGTTGCTTCAAATATTTCCAGCAAGCTTTAAACGTGAGAAAGAACGGAAAATGAGACACAATATATTATAACAAAAGTAAATTTTAACTATGTTTTAATAGAAGGGTGGGCAGGGCACAAGGGGTGGGGC